TTTTTTTTAGTAAAATTAACAACATTTGATGTACTATTATTAGGATTTGATGAAAGTATTTCAATTTGATTGCTATGTTCGATTTTATATTCACCATTTGTTTGTTCATGTTCAAGAAATAATGCTACATCATCACGTTCTTCATCATCAACTTGTTCACTACATGATAATCCAGCATTCGATGGTAAATGTAATGGTGGTGATAATACAGACGTAGATAATTGTAGCATTAAACTATTTCGATGAGTTTCTAATAAATTTGGTGAAGTTTCATTTATATCAATAGGTAATGTTAGTGATGTTCGTTCAGGTATTATTATTGATGCTTGATTAAAAATCGATTGTCTTTCAGGATAATATGATGTTATTAAATTATCAGCATTTGTACGATGTTGTGCAGCAGCAGATTGAATAATAGCTTTTGGTCTCCATTGTTTACGATTCTTTTTAGCTTGTGTCATAATAACAATAAATATACGATAATATATGGCAAATATGATAATACAAGGAATAAAAAATGAACCCAGAGATGAAAAAATAAGAAATTTATTATTGAAAAATGCACACTGTTCTGGTACACGTGGATAATCGGCAACATCCGATTTATTCGCACCACTAAAATCAAAAAGAAAATAATTTGTTCCTCATTAAACTTATTAACTCTATTCATTTCATTTTTGTTTACCTAACAATAGGAAGAGCAATAACAAAAGAAACAACCCATACAATAACAATCATAATAGCAACACGTTTTGGATTTTTATGTCGAGCATATTTAAGCGGTTTTGTTACTGCTATATAGCTAAAAATGAAATTTCAATTTTAAAAATATTTCTAGGTACTAAATAAAATGAACGTTAATGTAATTGACACAAAAAATTTTTTTAAGTACTTTATCATATAATAAGAGATTTAATTAATTCTATCTTACCGATCTACAGCAATAGCAACCTAAAAATTATAAATAGATAAAAAAAATCTTTGAAATACTTTTTTTTTCTTACTAGATTTAATATTGATGCTGTACATGCCATACAATCAGAGGCAACCCAAAAATCACATAAACGATCTGATAATTCCCATACACGATTATACTAAATAAGAAAAAAAATGAAGTAATTTCTTCTGTCAGATTTGATAGACAAGAATATATATCTTCTTTTTTTATTTAATTGTCATGTTAATTTGATAATCAATAAATAAAAAACTAGAAATTATTAGAAGAAAACAAAAACTTCAGATGAATATTTCCGTTCTATTCACAATATAAAAAATATTGTTAACCATTTTCTTATTATTATTAATAACATATTTTGTATATCTTCAATTATCTTAATCATACTAACTTTGAACTTATTTCTTCTTTTTTTGTGTCTGTTGCTTCTCTTATATAAATAAAAGGAAATCAATATGATATTTACTTTTTTTGGTTGCTGCTGCTTTCTAATAGAGGATGTTTGTCTAGACATGAAGAATTGATTTTTTCAGAAAACATATTGTACGTGTTAGTCTTTCAGAAAAATACTTTCGAGATAAATGATTTTATCTCATCAGTCACGTAGATCACATAATTTCATTTAAGGATTTTGTTTTTGCTCTCTATTTCATTTGTATCTATGACAGTTACGACGTGCTCATGATGCTCATATCCGTATAGAACATAAAAAATCATCTCGCTTTCTCTCTATATATAGACATCAATTGATTATGAATAGTAAATCGTTTATTTTAGTTTTTTTATTTTATTTATTACTTACTTCAAGATAGATTGCAAATGGCATAACAACAGCTGCAACAGTTATATCTGATATAGCGAGTGATACAACGAAATAATTTGTTATAGTATGAAGTGATTTTTCTCGATATACACTAATAACAACAAGTACATTGCCAAAGATTGTAAATAAAGGAAAGAGTATCAGTGCAAATGCCCAATAATTAGCTGTAATTGTTTCAACTGTTACTGGTTGTGGAGTTATATATGATGAAATTGATAAAATTGGATTATTTAAATCATCTATTGTTGCACTGCTATGTGGATATGAATCATAAGTATTTGAATTATAAAGTAAAGATGTTGGAAGTGGTGCAACAATTAAATTCCAAGAACCTGTATCGTTTGAAAGATGTTGCATGTTATAACATGAACGATAAAGAGAAAAAGAAATATATATATAGAAATAGAAATTGATATTTTGATAATAATTATAATGCTCGTGGCAAATAATGTTGATGATAATAATCTGCACGACTTCACGTGGATGATGAAGTTTGCTTTGAAATTTAATATAAATAACGTATATTGATGTGAGTAAGAAATATAAAAACGGTAGCACGGCGTTGACGGTGGTAGTTGTGCTCGAAGTTTCAAGTGGCTTGCCGAAAGCGTCATCTCCTGATTGATTCTTTCGCCATGATGTAGCATGTCTCATTTTGAGACGATCATGCGTGAGGAGCAAACGCCGTTGTAGCGACGTAGGAAGAGAGAAGAAGACGAATAGAATATGGTGTTGAAAAAGAGAGAGGGAGAGAAAGAGAAAGAGAGAATAAGAGAAATATGATGACGTTGACGAAAGGAGATCGTCTAATCTTCAATTATTACTACCACTTAGTTTGGTTATTATTGTTGTCTCGATAAAGCCAATGTCATAGTTTCTATATGATACACATACATAAGATTTTAAGAAGTAGTCTAATTAATATTGTTAGTGATTCAATAAAAAAAAATATAAAAAAGAAAAGAAGATATTATCAATATAAATATTAAAGAAAAACAATGTCTACAAAAGAAAATTTCTTTCTTTCTATTTACATAGGAACAAACAATAGAATTGAATATCTTTTAATACAAACTATGTGTATATATTTTCTTAATAAACAAAGAGAAATAAAAGAAATATCTATTACTTACATAGTTGATTCGAATAATTAGAAAAGAGTAAAGGAAATGATCAACAATATCATCACATTTTGATTCTATATTCAGAATAAATGATTTGCATTGATTATTTACGATTGATATATTATACAAATTGAAATTTAGTTCGTTTATCTAATTGCTTTTTTTTTTGCATTGACTATTAATATTACTATCAGAGAAATCTAAGCAATCTATATGAATTGATATAATACATGCAAACAAAAACAAAATTATGATCGATGATAAAATAATTTTACGAGACTGTGATCGACATAGATCATTTTATTACAATTGTTAAACGATGAGTAACAATTGTTTTTTAATACAAAGAATCATAATTGACAGTTTCTAGTACTTGTTGAAATTTGAAGAAGATAAAACGAATAGGTATTTATATCACAATTGACATATTAAAAAAACTAATCTAGTGTCGATAGATGATCAACAATCAACGCTATAATCTTGTTTATTTGACTAAGTCGATATATGAAGCGTAGATAAAGTAGACCAAAGTGATGACATTTGTTTCTTGTTTATCAATTGGTAGTTACATTTTATTGTAAACATAGATATGTCAGAGAAACGATATTCTTTAATATGAAAGAGACACGAGATAATAGTTACAGCTGCAATGACATTCGCGTACATCTCAATTATCGTTTGATTTAAATAAGCAAATGGTATTTCTTCTATCTAATATGGTTTAAGTAGTCCTTGGTAACATAAACGAATATTAGAGCATATTCTACTTAAGCGCAACGATCGCTCAAATAAACAAACAAGCTTCTTCTTTTTTAAGTCGCGACAGGACATCGATCTCTTCAATAACTGAGATTCTTATCTCTTGGGATAACTATAATATTTTACATACATATAAATATATATTTGTATTCATGGAGAAACCTAAGAGATTGAAAAACAAAACAAAAAACAAAGATTAATTCGAATAGTTTCTATTTAGGGAAATCTTATATATTTTATTTTTAATAAAAAACAAGAAGAACGATAAATACTAATCATATCTATTTCACTATTATTAATTTATCGTATAATAGTAATAACCAAGCATCTTTTTAGTATTATCTATCTACGATAATCATTATAAGATATATATTAAATTCAATACTGTCATATATATAATAGAAAAAAAACTATCAAATCTAATACTTATACTATAATAGTTCATATAATTTAAGTGAGATTGATGTGATCATAAATATAATTTGATGAATCAATAAAAAAGAACAATAGTATTTCTAATGTTTCAATCTTTTTCTTATTTTTACAAACGAATACTTTTCATTAATTCAGTTACTTACTTCATCAAACGGACTTCTGAAATAGAAAGAACAAATTAAGTAGTAATAGTATATAACAAAAGCGTTGTCAATCATGCGCAGATGTTACTATACTCGAATGTCGATCTTTTTTTCATTTTTACAAACTAGTGTAAGCATCAAATAAATACTTGAAAACAAAAGCAAATGCAGCCTTTTTTTTCTATTTATAACTATTGAAAAAAAACTGATGCCAATGATCTAGAACATGTAATAATCGAAATCGAATCCTAGTACATAATAAATGATATGCACACTCTATTTATTTTTATCTCGAAAAATAAAACAGAATGTTAACTTCATATATATCTAATTGTTTGGGTCTTTTTTTTATGATTAGTCACTAAAAACAAGGACAGATACAAAACTATTTAATACGCTTTGATATTTTTTTTTGCTTCTTTTTGTTAATATATTAATATTGTTGGATAGGACAAAAAAGAGAAAGATTTTTTTTATGTTAGGAGCTGGTGTTTAGGCGATAATGAGATTATAATACGATTTGTGTATATATACATCAGAATAGTAAACATTCTGATAGAAGTTTTTCCGAATAAGGATACAAGTGAAGAAGAGAAAGCACATATAACGATGCCGACAATAACAACGACAAATCTCGATCGTTTGCATATTATCAATCGCCTTTCGATACTTATATGATAAGTAGGAGAACATATTTCAACTGTTACAGGAAGAGACAACGTCTATAAAGAAGAAAAATAGTCTAAAGAATAAAAAAAAAACAATTTTTCTTATGTCTTTCTCAATCATTATCTTTGTTGTTTTATTAAGGATATTAATAGTTAAGAAATCGAAAGAAATGGGGAGAGAGAGGGGAAATACATTCTTCTTCTTCTTCTTTCCAACCGTTTGTCACTTACTCATGAGTATAAAATCAGTTTTTGGATAAAGACGTTTACTTGTGTGGAAGAATGAACGGATGCCTATGTATTAGCCAAGCATGAGCAAGCAACTATTCATATTTATGTTCATCGTTCCATATATAAACTAGTCATACGTAGGTGAAATAAAACAAAAATGATTGATCGATTTGAAGAGTTGTTAGGGACATTAGGTGGAAATATCTTTTGATTATCATATAAAAAAGAAAATAGAAAAACAAATGACAACAATAATGCAAATTAATAGTATTATATTGTTAATTTCACAGATAAAAGAACATATCAACTATATATAATCTATATTATTTCTAATTCAAGAAATAAGAAACATATTTTATAAGTTTTTTTCTTCTTCTGTATCTTTAACTGCCATTCCACCTACTATTTTATCGTTTCCATTATTATCATTGAGGATGACATGTCTAATTATAGCTATAAAAAAAGCCGTGATTTTCTTAGATAAAAGTAAATGAGTCAACAAGAACATGTTTTTCTAATAAAAACTAATGCATCGATAACAAACAATAAAGATACAACTTATTTCTAAACATCATGACAATTTTTATGGAGTCTAAGTGCTTTACCATCATGACTTTTCTCCTACTCTCTTTTATATCCTTTCATCATCTTTTCCTTTTTTTTTTTTTTTTTTGTTGTTTCATCCAGTTCTCTCTCGTTCTCGTTGTAATCCACTCCCGTAGATTTTCTCGATGAGTATCATCAATAAAAAATAGTCCTACAACGAGATTGTTGTCACATCAGATCATTTGTTATGTGCATGCTAAAAACAAATCTGAAATATTGTCGAGACTAATTAATATCGTACTTTTACTTAATTTACAGACAGACAGACAGACAAAAAAAATTGTTCCTAGTTTTATATATATCTAGTCCTTACAAACATTAAAAAAAAGAAGCTAACTAACATTTGTCACATTAAAAAAAAACAGAATATTAATACAAAAAATGTTCTATTTATCATTGATTCTATATATTAAGATAATTAACTCTTGACATTTTTATTTCCTAGTCTATCTCTGGTCTTTTCAATTTCAAAATAATTAACAAAAGATATACATATATATTTACTTGGTTAATTTAGTATTAGTTTGGTATAATGTCAATCAGATTTGTCATTTCCGATAACAAATTAGAATCTGTAAAGATTTTTTTTATATAGAAAAACAACACAATAGAATTGTTATACAGATTATTAAGATTAAAAGAAATTTTCAAATAAAAATAATAAGAAGAAAATACGAAAGAATAATACAACAGAAGCAGCAAATCATCATACTTTGACTTTCTTCTTTTGTTCGTTCATACACTTATGTATCAATGTGCCTAGACTAAGTATCTACCTTATAGTCGGTGACACGAAAAACTTGCATCAATCATTTCTGACTGTCCTCATTTCCTTTCTCATTTTTTCAATCGTATCCTTTACTTTCTTTCTTTTTTCTCTCGAGAACCTATTCACCTTTTCCGGACTTTCTTTTTTTTTTATTTACATACAATCGACCGTAGACATAACTACAAATCTCCGAAATTGACTTCATTTATTCTATAAAACATAATCAACATTTTTCTTTTTACCTACTTTTTAACAATGCACGAATAATTGAAATGTTTGCATATATATACAAGTGAATGTATTTATAACCCGATGCGTTGGTTTCTTTTTTTGATTACATATCTGATCGACAAATTACAAATAAATTTAACATTTTCTTGTGTCCTACAATACAAAATGAACTGTAGATAAACAGAAAAGTTTCTTCCACTTCATATTTAAAAAGTGTTTCATTACTTTTCTCGATGATTCAATTTACTGCAATATATAACTTAAAAAAGCATTATACTTGAATAATATATAGATATTGTTTCAAGTATAAAATATTATACATAATAAATTTACTAACATGATAGACAATATAAAATATTCAATTCAAAAAATGATTGTTTAAATCTCAAAGTTAACTACATTAAAAAGGAAATGTCAACAACAGAAATTTCACGTTTGACAAACATATTGTTTTATCTATTCTACGATTTTGACATTTATTCGATCTGTCTATCAATACAAATGTCTGATTGCTGTATATTTACCTATTGAATTTTTTGTTTTTTTTGAAACTTAATATTAGCGTCAATTTATAATGAACTGTTGTTATCGAAAAACAACAGAAATAAATGTTATGAAGAAATATATTTGATAAATAATTAATGTTATATTATAATGATTGTAAAAACCGAATTTAATTCAGATAATATCAATGCGTACTTTTTCTGAAAATAAATAGTAGTGACTGTTTCTTCAACAGTTGATTGACAAAATTCTAATTCAGACATGAAGTAGATCAACCACTGTAAATTCTGTCACAGAATATAAATAAATGAGTTACGTCTTTTTTAGTTATAATGAATTTAATCATTGAGACATACAGATCTGTTCTTTAAACAATACTTGCTTCATATAAAATTATGTATGTCACTTTTTGAAGTGTATGAGTTTCCTAAGAAGTTAAAATTTCGTAAAATAAAAATTATCTGTTTAATAAATTATGAATAATAGGAAAAATGTTTTTTTATATTTTGATGCAAGTAAATAAACAAAAAATCATAATGAAAAAAAGGTTCTAATTAAATAATATGAATATGCATAGTGTTTAGTATTCGTCTTGATGGTCATCATTATCTCCATCAAGTGTATCAATTCCAACTTCTTCATAATCTTTTTCAAGTGCAGCTAAATCTTCTCGAGCTTCGCTAAAAAAATTTCTTATTAAAAAAAAGAAATATATAATACAAAAAATGTACCTGAATTCTCCTTCTTCCATTCCCTCGCCAACATACCAATGAACAAATGCACGTTTTGCATAAAGTAGATCGAATTTATGATCGAGACGTGCCCAAGCCTCTATTATTAGAAAAAACAATAAATTATATTTAAATAACAATCATATTACCGGCTATAGCAGTCGTATTTGAAAGCATGCAAACAGCTCGAGGTACTGGCGCCATATCACCACCAGGTACAACACTTGTTGGTTGATAATTAATTCCAACTTTAAAACCAGTTGGACACCAATCAACAAATTGTATAGATCGTTTAGTTTTAATTGTTGCTACAGCTCTATTCACATCTTGTGGTACAACATCACCTCGAAAGAGAAGACAACAAGCCATATATTTTCCTAAATAGAAAACCTTATATATTTTTTGTTTTTTTTCTTCTCGAATTGAATTACCATGTCGTGGATCACATTTAACCATTTGACTTGTTGGATCAAATACTGCATTTGTGATTTCACTCACAGACAATTGTTCATGCATGGCTTTTTCAGCTGTTAAAAACAAAAATATTTAAAGAAAATATTTTTATTTATTCTTAATTTACCACTAATAATAGGTGCATAAGTAGCTAGTGGAAAATGAATACGAGGATATGGAACAAGATTTGTTTGAAATTCATTTAGATCAACATTAAGTGCACCTTCAAAACGTAGTGATGCTGTAATAGATGAAACAATTTGAGCAATGAGACGATTTAAATTTGTATAAGATGGTCGTTCAATATCTAAATTTCGTCGACATATATCATAAACAGCTTCATTATCAACCATAAAAGCACAATGAGAATGTTCTAATGTTGTATGTGTTGTTAATATAGAATTATAGGGTTCAACAACTGCTGTTGAGATTTGTGGTGCTGGATAGACAGCAAATTCAAGTTTAGATTTTTTTCCATATTCAAGTGAAAGTCTTTCCATCAATAATGAAGTAAAACCGCTACCAGTACCACCTGAAAATATTCAAAAAACAAAATAGAACAAGTTTTTCTATATTTGACTAGTAGTTGATATAATATCATAAGAAGTTTAAGATTCTAGTGATATAATTATGTCTCCTTCATTGATGTCAGGAATATGTCAAGCTTATTTATTCATTTTTGTGAAACACGATCTAAGAGGTGTGTTGAAGTGTTAAGGAGTAGAAATTTAGACTCACTTGCCCCCACCCCCAGACTTAACTGACACATGTTTTTATGACATCGTTACAAACGTGACCGACAGGGCATCATAGGTCTTCCTATACGTGACCAATGTAGCAGCACAAACCGTAAATGAAAGATCTTCTTTTGACTATGTCATAGATTGTGACCATCATAGATATGGACATTGAATTGCAGAACAAAGTAAAACTACGGAATTCATACTGTTTAGGAAAGATAGATACGTAAGTAGTTTCTTTTATATTAATCGATTTTTTTCTTGAATTTGTAACAACTGTTAAAATGATCGTTAAGTGAGTTCAACATATGTAATCTATTTCTTTCCGATATTTCTATATCTTCATGCGAAGAATCTCTAAATCTAAAATTTGAATCCACGGTAGTGAAGCACAATAGCGACTTTTGTAAATTCGTCTTCATAAAATAAGGAATGTCATAAAAACTTACCTCCAAAGGAATGAAATATTAAGAAACCTTGTAAACCATCACCTACAAAAAACTCTAGATTTAATTAATGATTTAATTATTAACCATATCTTACATTGATCTGATAATTTTCGAAGACGATCAAGTACAAGATCAATTATTTGTTTACCAACTGTATAATGACCACGTGCATAATTATTAGCAGCATCTTCTTTATCAGAAATTAATTGTTCAGGATGATCTAAATATATTCTTTAATATATTGAAATCATTTCATTGAAATGTTTACAAAGAGATTTATAAGGACCAGTTCGAATAACATCAATAACTGATTGTTCAAGATCAACAAAAACAGCACGAGGTACATAACGATTGCCTGTATGATGAAAAAATGTATCAAATGAATCATTTTTATCATTTTTTCCTTTTTTTATCATTTGTCCATCAGTATCAATACCATGCTCAAGACAATATCTATTAAATGTTCTTATAAATAAAACAAAAATCAATGAAATAAATTCTTACAATTCCCAACAAGCATTTCCGATTTGAACACCAGCTTGACCAACATGAACGCTGATACATTCACGCTAAAAATTTTAAGATAAATACAAATCATTTGATATTGAAGAAATATGTTACCATTTTTTTATTATTAAAAAGCTAAATAAACGATTGTAGTTGATCGAATATGAATTGAAAAAAGAAAAGAATGAACCTCGGTATTCAATTTGACCTATGTCTCTTCGTTACAGTCCAATGAACATGCGAAATCTTTCATCCGTGATATAAAAACGAACGATTGAACATATACGACCTTATTTCTGTACAAATGATACCAAACTTATATGGATACATAAAAAGTAGTTGCATTTTTTTATTTTTGATATTATATTTCTATCAATTAATACAGATTCGAAGAAATTGTGATCAAATGTTTACTTGCAACGAAATAGTTTCATTCCTACTCAACTTCAGTCATGAAATAGGTTAAGTATTTTCAGAAAAGTTCATATCTAAGAATGTAGATTTATACACGATATTTATATGAATGTTCTTTATTGATTTAAAGCGAAAAAAAAACTTAATTAAACATTCTTTTTTTATTTAAATAAAATTATTTCATGTTAATACGTGTATATATGTATAGATATATACAATTGTACATGGTGGAAATGGATTTATACTGTTTTACTGAACAGTCAGTCATATACAAATAAGAAATAGCAAAAAGAAAATATGATAGATAAATAACTTTAATCAGCACACATAGGTTCGGCTTGATAATTAGACAAATATGTCGTATTATTTATTTGTCTAAGTATCATTGTTGTTGACGATGGTGATTCATCTGGAATAGGTGTTGTATCCATAGAATCCTCTTGACCAGTATTTGTAGTAGCTTTTTTAAGACGTTTTACAACTGGTTTAGTATCATCTTTTTTAACAAGCATCGTCTCTACTAAATCAACATAAGACATCAATTCATTGGCTTCATCTGCTTCAAAACCCTACAAATATATATATAGTTTTATTTTTTATTACAAAGAAAAAATTTGTACAAACTTTTTCAATAGTTTGTTCGATAAGTTTTGTTAGCAGATAACGAAGTTCATCAATATCAGTAACACAATCAACAATTAATTGTGGATCAGGTCCTTGTATTAATTCACTTGTTTGTTCTTGATCATCATCATAAGCCATTAATACTTGCTGACATGATGATATTTCTGAATTAAGATATGCTATTGTAGTTTCTAATTTTGTTATTGATTCACGTAATGGTGTACATGTTGGATCTTCTGATTGTTGTTTAACTGTTGTACTTGTTACAATAGCATTACTTAATCGTTGACAATATTTTTCACGTTTTCGACTTACACATTCACGATTTTCAATTAATGTACTCATATCACGATTAATACCTGATATAAGTTTTCGACGACGAATTGCATTTGTGATCTAGAAATATTTTTATATATGTTTAAAAACAGAAAGTTTATTTTAACATACGCCTTGTTGAATAGCAGCAAAATGTGCACTCATCTCCTTTGTTGTTTTACGCATTCGAGTTGAACGCATTTGACGTCGTAATAAATGTACCTAGAAAATAAGATTATATGAATGTAATTATCCAGGGTGGTTGTAGATGTAAATGTCAAGAGAAGAATAGCACTCACACCCATTCCCTAGTCTTTCAAAAATGATTAGTTCTGAAATAATTTCCTCTTGTATATCATCGAGGAAAAAGATATCTTTATTCAGCACTATTAATAAGTAACGCTCGTCTGACAACTCGCTTACCTCTTTCTCGTAGAAATGCATTTTTTTCACATTTACTGAAAAAATCGTGAAAAATTGATTTTCGATGTTTTTTTGACCCTGTGGACATACAATCAAGCAAACAATTTATCTCTGCTAGACTTTTCTCTACGAGAAAGAGAATTACTGCCGCACTCTCGAGGTATTCGTCTTATAATAATTGCTTATATTTTATATATCTTACTTCTTCTTGTTTACGTTTAAGAATCATTTCTTTTTGTTTATGTTTAGCACGTAATGTTCGAATTTCATTATCTTTTTGCATCTGTGTCTAAAAATAATAAATATATGGAATTGAATTTTATTTTGCTGTATGATTTACTCGTTTAAGTGTAGCTATTTCTTTTGCTTTAGCTAATTCAGCTTGTTTATGTCGAAGAAATTCTTGACGTAATTCACGTGTTAATTGTACTTTCATTTTACGTAAATCTTTTAATTCATTGGTATGTTTACCTAATTCTTTTTTATAATATTCTCCATCTTTTAAACAAACAGCATACTGTGCACGTAAGGCTGATAATTCATTATTTTCAATTTCTAATCGACGAATCTTTTCTTCATAATCACGTCTTGCTATTTTTAATTCTTCAACATTATGTTGATCACGTGCAGCTGTATCTAAAAGAAAAAAAAACCCAAAATCAATGAAAAATAAAATTTTATTATAAACTTACTTAATTTTGTAACAGCTGCTTGTTTTTCATCTTCAGCATTTTGTATACGTTCAGACAAAAGTTTTATACGTTCTTCATATCGTTGACGTATAGCATCACTACGTTTACGTGCATTTTCAAGCATTTCAAGACATTTTTGTTTTGCATTGATTTCCGTAGTAATAATTACTAGTTTTTCTTCTTGTGCATCAGCTTAAAAATAGTCAGAGATTTTAATAGTTACATATTTCTCATGTAAATAGGAGAAAAATCTTTAAAACTCACATTCAGTTTGAACATCATCATCAGCAGGTGTTGGTGGTTGTTCATCTTCATCGTCACTATTCATAATATTTTCTTGTTCTTCGATTGTTGCCATATTTGATCGATTATCCATGAGATCAGATGATGGATTTGTTGATAGTGAATAGATAGGTTCTGTTTTACGTTGTGATGACATTTCATGTGGTTCTTGAGGAGAACCTGGAATAGTACTTAAACCGATACGATTTGATTTTGCTGAACCACTAGAAATAAAAATATTTATCATAGAAAACATTTATCCGATTTATAATACAAACTTTTCACGAAGTAATTGTTCTTCACGTCGAAGACGATCGATTTCATGACGTATATCTTCAATGCACGGTTGTAAATCATCTGAATTCGTTACATTTTGATTAAATTCAAGAGATGATAATGGTTGATCGGCTGAAAATGATCCTAAAAAATAGAATTTCAAATGTTGAAAAAAGTCTAATTAAGATTTCAGTTTTTGCAAAACTTAATAAAAGAGTAATTCACATTAATATCAGTATGCGAACTTTGAATAGACGTTATTCTCTCTACTTACTTGTTGATAGACGACTTTTTCGACGATTTGATATTGGACTACGCTTTCGAAGTACATTACTAACATCATTCATACGTGATAATCGAGATCTAGAATTATTTATTTAGTATATTTATATAAAAATTTCATCGATTTCTTACTGAATTTCATCACTTTTTACTAAACATTGATTTAATATATTATCATAATCGAATAGCATATCATTCATTTGTCGATGATCACGAACTATTTCTAAATCTTGTTTTAATGTTTGTGATACCATATTTGTTTCATTAATCGAACGTTGTATTGTATATACATATGAACGTATACGTTCAAGTTCTTGACTTAATGCACTATTACTTGCTTGATCAAATTCACCCTGAAAAAAAAGAACAGATTTCTTTAATAGTTCTATTTTTTGTTTTTCATTTACTGATGATATATGTTCATTTTTATCAACTAATGCACGTAGACGTTCAATTTCCATTTGTAATTGTATAATTTGTCTACTATGTTTATCTTGATTAACTTTAACACGATTACGTATATTACGTGCACGTTGAGCATAGTTCAATGTACTTTTTGTTTCAGAAAAATCTCGATCAACTGGTGAAATACACGCAATCATTAATGTTCGACTATAATACAGAGGAGAAAATTAATTCTTTGAAAAATCAATGAAGAGTTATTATTTACCTATTTCCACCTAATGAATCTTGTAATAAACGTGTTAATTTTGAATCACGATATGGTACATGTGCTGCTTTTTTCATTGGATCACCTAGAATCGATATGACATTTCCAAGAACAAGCTAAATAAAAACAAATTTGAAATTTTTGTAAGAGAGAATATTTTGGATACAAACCAAACCACTATTAATACTGATTCCTTCTTTTGCACGTTGACCAGTTGCACCAGTTCGTTTTAAACTTTCTGAACCAGCTAAATCAACAAAATGTATTTTAGCACGAATTTGTTCACGTAAATTTGGATTCGATGTCTAAATTTATAAAACTAAATCAAATACATATTTGATTTTCTTTACACATACTGATGAAACAACACGTTCAAATTGTAAATTTACAGTAAATATAGCATGTGATCGACTTGATACACTATTCATACGTGTTGCTGCTGTTGTTCGACTAAGAGCACCTTCGCGTAAACAATTCAGTGTCTAAATAAATGAAATTATTGAGTTAAGAAAAAGTTATCTATTTGACAAACCTCATGTGATGTAGTAACGAATCGTGTAGTTATATTTGTAATGGCTATTTCTCCATTACTATTTTCAAAAACTACATGTTTATCAACATTTTTTTGTGCACGAAAATCATTATTTTCTTTATTAAATAAATCAAAAATATTTTCATTATAAATCTATCAAAAAACAAAATTTACAATAAAAATAAGTAAATTTATCTATATTTACTTCAATAAATTGACATGATACTACACATTTAGGTATACTAATTCCTTTTGATTCAGCTTCTTGTTCATAACTTGCACATCGTTGAAATATATGCATAATGGCACGAGGTAAAATACCTTCTTTAGACGGATCCATATATTCAATTCCACTGCCCATAGTAAAAGTTTTTCTGAAATTAGAATAAAATCTTTCTCAATTGAATTCTTTCTTTTTTTTTATAGATATTTACCCTGAACCAGTTTGACCATACGCAAGTATTGATGCACTATAACCTTGAAAACATCCTTCAATCATATCATAAACACATTCTCGATAAAGATCTTCTTGATTTGTTTCTGGTAAAAATACATGATCGAATGTAAAAGCTGTACTATTAGCTAAAATAATTTCATTTGATGTTCGTTGTACATCAACACATGTTTGACATAAATCATCACGTTCATTATTTGTAAATGGGCGAACACTAAAAACAAAAAATTCTATATTTTTTTCAATATATTTATATGTATAAACATACCGAACAGCAGCTTTAACACAGCTGGCAATTTCTTTAGTAGAATTCGCCGGTTCCATTTTATCGGACAGTGAAATACATGCGCACGCAGGCAGCAAAAAACGGATTTCACAGAGACAAAGACTTTTCCTAGGACAAAGAATCTTGCTCGCGCTTATTAAATTATTTTTTTTCTATTTCATCAATTTAAATATTTTTATTCAAGAAAATTCTTTTGTTTTAATTTTAGAAAAAAATTTCCTTAAAAATTTCGAATTTTTTCAAATAGATGTCGCTATAAAATATATTTTTTATTTTGTTTTTAAATTTTTGTAAGAAGAAAAAATTTTAAATTTAGTTAATAATAAAAAAATCGAATTTATTTCAAGGTTATTTAAGAATATTTTCTCAGATAGGTTAATCGAGATTACCAATCAATCAATAGATGAGAACAAAAAAAAAGAAAAATGAATGACGCGAGGAGGAACAGAATTAGTTAGTCTTTTTTTTTTCTTTTCTTCTATTACATATTTGTTGAGAAATAGTAGCACGATAGTGCAATTTGCATGATTATATCTTATAGATTTAATTCTTCAAAAAATTTCCTATAAAATTTTATTATGGACAGTGACACAGAGTCATCGGAGGTAAAACAAAAAAACTTGGTTTTTAATAAATTATTTTATTTTATTATAGTGTCCATTATGTTTGGAAGTACTTGAAGCCGATGATTTGACTTTTTTTCCATGTACATGTTGTTATCAGGTAGAAAAATTGAATAAAATAAATGATTAGAAGCAATAAAAAAAAATTCCTAATTTAGATTTGCCGTTTCTGTTGGCATCGTATTCGAACAGATGAAAATGGTTTATGTCCAGCATGTAGAAAAGTAAGTGAAAAATTTTTTTTTTAAGCAAAAACAATTAATTGAAAGTCAAAATCTATGACATAGATTTCGAAAACAAGAATAAATGTCAAAACAATTATGTGAATTGATTGAGAAGTAACAGTTGATCAAACGATCTTTTACCTATTCAAACATATAATTATACTTATCTTAGATGTCATTTATATAGCAAATAGACACAAGTATTTATTTTTGACACTTTTGTAATTCTTGAATAAAATTGATAACTAAATATGATCGCGAGACTATTGCATCATAATCTTCTGATGTTCAATTTGTTATAACAAAAAAATGCAGTTCTAATTGATTATTCTCAAATCATTATTTTGTTGCCTAAATCTATCAGTACTTTAGGCTATTAAAACAATGTTATGTACACGTAATATTGATATCTTTTTTCTTTTCGAAATATTTAGACAAAGTTAAGTATATCACCATTTACTGGACGAAGTATATCGATAGAATGACCTACTATTGTTTGCTCTTAATGAAAAGAGGATGATGATACTCAAGTATTTGATTGTAGCATAGTAAAGAGATTATCATATTATATTTCATCCAATTGAGACTTTATGAGTTGAAAGTATAATCATATAGTATTGCATCTTCTGTTTTACTTTCAACTGAACATCTAATTATTTATTTATTTATTTTAGCCATACAGTGAAAATCCAGCACAATTTAAACCATTAACGGATGAAGAGTAAAAAAATTTTTTTTATAATTTTATTTATTATTATTATTATTCAATTAGAATTCAACAAGTAAAACGTGATAGAAAATTAAAAGAATCAAATAAAAAACCAAAAATCACTGAAAGTCGAAAACACTTAGCAAATCTTCGAGTCGTTCAACGTAATCTTGTATTTGTCAATGGTCTTCCATCACGTTTAGCTGATACTGAATTATTAAGACGAAATGATCATTTTGGTAAATATGGTAAAATAGTTAAATTAGTTACATCACCAGCACATAACGGTCAATTAAATTCTATATGTGTATATATAACATATTCACGTTCCGAAGAAGCTTTACGTGCTATACAATCTTTATGTAATTATCATGTTGATGGTCGTACATTAAAAGCAACATTAGGTACAACGAAATATTGTAGTCGATATTTAAAAGGTGCATCATGTCAAAAAGCTGATTGTCTTTATTTACATGAGCCCGGAGATCCATTAGCAAGTTTTACTAAAGAACAAATGCAACAAGGGTAAAAGAAAAATTAGTTTTAAGATAAATATAGAAGAAAAATATCTATATTTAGTCTTCATCTTGAGTATGAACGAAAACTTATGGAACAGTATGAGAGTAAGACAACATCTAGTACACCAAAAAATAGTCGAACAACGGTTAACGGGTAAGATTTATTTTATTAAACACGAGTGAATCATAAAATATGTTCCTTTGACATTTGCTAGACATAAAAATGAATCATCACAAAAACGTAAAGGACCCATACCATTATTAACAACAGCAAATAATTCTAATTCAGCAACATCAAATACAATGAATGGTCATTCAGATTTAGAATCAGGAGATGAAACAAATATACCTCATACTACAACAAATCATCATTCATTAAATGGATATAATAATGATACATTTACTAGGTAAATATTTAAAAGAAAAAAATTAATTAAAAAAAATTCTTTATTATTTAATCCAATATAAAAATTACGAAAATATTTTCAGAATACATATTGTAATCTCTGGTTATTCAATTCATCAAATTTTGTGATATCTATTCTGATTAGATTTTCGCGATTTTATCTTTGTGTATCTATTTGAAAATACAATCATTTCTTTTCTATAGTACCACTGCTATTAATGGTGATACTCTAAATGGTGATTCTGATATATCATCAACATCATCTCAAACATCATCGGAACATGATCCATCATTACGTACACATATTCAAACATATAATGTTTCACCATCAAAAAATTGGCCAGATGATTCGGGAAATTTTTATTCTTCAAATACAAATTTTGTATCATCATCGAATAAACCATCGGTTTCCAGTACATTAAATTCACCAAAAGATGTTCAATCGAATGAATCTACAGTGAAAACATATGATCAATTACCAGAATATAAACTATTTAGTTCAAATGGTCCATCTATACATTCAATTTTATTTGGTAATAATGAAACTAATAATAATCATCATCATCATCATCAACAACAAACTCATCGACCATTAATAAATGGAATTGATCATGATTTAAGAGAAATCGAAAAGAGATTAATGGGTAAAATAAATTCTATATGATTCATTCAATAGTATTGGTTTTTTTTCTTCTCATCAATAGAAAATGGTCTTGATAATACATCTTATACACAAATTCAAGAAAATGATGAACTAGGTAAATACATTTTTTGTTGTTAATTAAAAAAAATTTTTTTCGTATTTAGGTTTTGATCCATGTAGTTTATTTATGTCGGCACTTGCGTCTGATATAGAAGATGAACGACGACCATTACCATCTCAAACATCTGTGTCATATCGTCCAGTATCAAATTCATATGGATTTTCATCATCTCAATATATTGCTCCAACAAATAATTCATCGATAGGACCAGTTAATCCATCTTGGATGATGCAACAGCAACAGCAGCAGCAACAACAACAACAACAACAACAACAACAGCAATATCATCACTATCACGAACAACCAACAACACCACAAAAACAACAAAGATATCCACTTTCGTTTAGTAAGTATTTGTTTTAATGGAGAATTTGTTGAATTATATACTGATAATAAAAATTTAGATGGTTCATCATCTCCTCGACAAATGTGGAATGGCAATCAACAATCACAATCACAATCACAACCACAATATGGGTCACAGATGCCAACGCGTCTAGATTTTTCAAATCAAATTCAACAACAACAACGGCTTCCACTCAGACAATCATCACCTTCACCACAATATTCTCAAGCAATAAATCATACCTATCCTTCTAATAGTACAGTGACCACAAATAATTGTAAGAATAAAAATAGCACATATTTCTATATTATTTATCTTTTTAATATTAGTACCATCAAATGATCGATGGCTAAATGTACCTTGGACAGATCCAGCTATAATATCACTTGGAAATAAACTTGATCCAACACAATCACAATGGTCAACAACTACACAATCCCAGGGATCTTCAGCATTATCCTCAGGAAATAATCTCGTCACAAATCCACGTTGGTCACAACAATCCCAATCACATATGTTTACAAATGGAATGTATATGCCATATACAACAACATCAGGTATCGATGATGGAAATCGTCCGTAAACACGAAAACAGTTGATCACATGCATATAAACAAAAAGAAACGAAGTCTTATTTTTGTCTAATCTATATGCTCCGTGCCCGGCTGATGGTCTGTTCGTTTTTTGTTCTCTTGTACTCCTCCTACGCCTATGATAATGATTTTTTTTTGCTTGTTTGTTTTCTCTATCACTCGTTGTCGTTTATCATATATACATATACATATATATATACATACATGCAAATTATTATTTATATTGATAATTTATTCATAGTAGTACAGAGAAAAACAAGAATCAGAATGATATGTTTTGCATACATGAGAATTATATTCATTACGACAATAAATCAAGCTTATATATTCAAAAGCATCAAAAATTAATCATACATATTTTTTGTTTGTTTATTGTCATCGGTTTTTTTTGTTTCATTTGCATTTCTTTTGTGAGTTTCTTTATTCTTGCTTGTTTTTTTTTTCGTACATGTGTGTATGTGTGTGTGTGTGTCTCGACTGACTCCAATAGAGATGAACACAAATCATCATACGTTCAAATAGATAAACAGATTAATATATATATATACATATATGTCGATGCTTTTATTGAAATTCCAACGAAGGAACTAAGTTATTTTCTTTTAAATATGCATAATGAAGTATAGAGCAATCAAATCTAACCGTCAATCTATAACAATTTCTTTACAAAATAAATTATTTCGAAGATTACCTCCGTAAAGTGGAAAAGAGGGAGAGGAAAGAATGTCCGCATTGTGACAGTCTTCATGCGTCTTGACTGAAGCATTACACAGTTTATGTGTACAGATCTAAAGTTTGATTCCATTCTTGCCAGTCTGTGCGGTAATTTCAGAAAAGCTATTATTGTTTACGATCGACATTTTCTATTAATTTATCGAATTTGATCTCGCTCGCTGTAAATATTTTAACCCATAGTGCAAGTTAAACACGACCTCGATCACACGTTTCATTCGATGCTGAATTGAGATTACCTCGATTAATTATCTTATGTTGTCTATTTTCTATTGTTTACATAATCCGAACATTTTTCTTCTCCCCTGCTTCCACTTTGTGGACACTTTTTCCACCAATTAAGAAAAAATGTCCCCAATAATCAGGTATTAAACATATGGTGATACACAAGAAATATTCTGTCTTGAAACCGATGACAGAAAACAATCGAAATTGAGATTATCATAATCCGTCTTGTTTGCAGTGTTATTGTTGAATAAATACAAGATTCTGTCATCATATAACTAAATAGAATCTTTAATGACATATGTCAATATCTACCTTCTATTATTGTACGCATAAACAAATCAAATATAATTTACGTCTATTGATTATTATTATTTTTCATTTTATAAACAAATACAAAAACAAAACACCTAATACAAATTCATAACTGGCAAACATTAAAAAAAACGAAAAAACACACACACACACTATGAAATAATTAATTCTATAAGAATCATAAACATCGTTCATAAAATAAAAGATAACAATTTTCAGTAACATATGGTGTTTGAAAAATATTGTCAATTTGATTTATTTCAGTTATACGTTCATTATCACTTAAAAACCATTGTGAATTATTTGTACGATATAAACAAACATAATGTCCATCTAGTGATGAAAAATTTCTTGATAAATGTAAACATGCAGCTACTAATTGATAACGTGAAGAATTTATTAGTGAGAAATTTGTTAAACCAAGCCATGTGGTATAATGTATATTTGATAAATCAAGAATTTTTTGTGGTTCGATTAAAATATTTGTTTTTAATTTAGTAATATTTTGTGAAAGACGATCAGAGGAAAAACGTTTTAATTTAATACAAAGAATATTAGGAAAATTTGCAATCATCGTTTGACTTTTTATTCGAGAATGATTATGATTGGTTATTGATGGAATGATAGTAATAGGAGCTAAAATATTAGGAAAATTAAATTGCAAAAAAATAATAGATGACGTCAAGTAATCCGGGTGTGGGTGTGGACTGTTCTTCTTCCACACGCACGCGACAAAACCTTTCCGGATTACTTGACATATTCAGATAATACATACGAGGTATTGATGTTGAAGATAATATTTGACTGGATGATTGAGAACTAGTAGTAACCATAGGTGATAGAGTAGATCTACATCAATAAAAAATTTCAATATTTTATAATATATAAAAAAAATTCTTACGCAATTTTAGTTAGAAGTGTTCCATGTTTAGTTGATTTTGATTCCCTTTCGTAATTATTAGGACTTTGACTAGAACAGTACGTACAAGAAATTGAATCAGTCTAAATAAAATAACATTATGTATTACATTCAAGAAAACTTGATCTTTTTCTCATACCATTTCAATTTTTGTCAATTGAGAAATAATTCGTTCTAATGTTGTATCTCTTGTATTCACCGGTAGTGTTAATATTTGAAATGGTTCCGTTCGAAAACGTACATGAGAACAACTAGAAGAATTTTAATGAAATGAAATGAGAAATACTAAATTGACTTACTTATTACAACAATATGCATGAAGCATTTGTCCAGAAAATGTTTGTTTGATAATTGAATCAAGTTGAACATGATGAAGTAACCATGTAAGATCAATATATTGAATTATATAGGATGATTGTGCATCAAGATTATCTAATGTTATTTTATTATAAAGCTAAAAACAATGATCAAGAAAATATTTAGTAAATTTATTTCGTCTTTTTTTTACTTGTGCTTCAGTTTCTACAAATATTTTATTTAGATGATCAAGTGAAAGAGTTGTTAATTTTCGATTTTGTACTTGTTCGATTACACTAAATAAATAAATACTTCCTATAAAACAAAAAAACTAATCACGAATTTATTTACTTTGTCGAACAAATCGACGATTGTTTTGATAGAGCATTACTCAACACATCAATAATACATTGAAATAATTCTCCTATATCTATTGTTGTATGTTTTGTTAGCAACTGTGGATAGATTGTATTTAATTTGGAAATAAATGATGATGTATCAATAAGTGTATTCCAATGTTTATATTCTGATAGATGATGATTATTTCTTAGTTGAGAAATAAGATTAATAAAAGTTGGAACGATGGAATCATAAGTAGAACGTGATAACTAAATCAATAAAAAGATACATTATGAATTAATTAGATGTATTCTCTTTCTCGTAGAGAAGAGTCCAGTAAACATAAACTGTCTGCTTGATTGATTGTGTGTCCGCAGGGTCAAAAAAACATCGAAGACTGATTTTTCGAAAAAGACATTTCTCGAAGTATTTTGATGTGAGGACTTCGAAATTCAGGTCTGTTGGGTGGCCATGGTTAGGGGTGGGTGGGTGTGGGTAAAAGGTCAAAAAAACATTGAAAACCGATTTTTTCCGGTTTTCATTTGTTTTCCCAGTAAATGTGAAGAAGGTACATTTCTACTAGAAAAAGCTAAGCGAGTCCTCGGACGAGCGTTACTTGTTGGATTTAACCCTTTCGTTACGATAGTATAAAAAAGTTACACCTACTTTTAATTATTTTTCTATAGTAAAGCTCACAGAGATCGGTGTGTGATCTTTTGAAAGCAATTTAAATAGAATAGTCTAAGAAAGGGTGTGGATTTCTCTTCTTCTTCGACCCTCACACCCACACCCTCAAGAACGATATTCAATCATCCGATTTATTCTAGTGACGTTTCGTTCATACGATATGTCTTAATATATAATTTCTTTTATTGAAAACTTTCTTTGTAGTTAAGAAGTACCGTGTTGAACATAATGACGATAGTATATGTCAATAAAGATATGAGAAAGTGAAACCTTAGAAATGTTTATTGCACTTGTATTTTATCGTACTTCAAAATTTTGTTTGAATTAAATGAAGTCTCACTTTTTCGAACAGAATTTTTTCATGATAAAAAAATTTATCAAGGAGTATTCAGTATTCATGTCTTACATTTATATTCTTTTGTAATGAAGGATAAAAACTATTAAGTGATGCTAAACTTTGTAGAAGTGGATTTAATGCATATGTTGTTCCATGTAAATTCGAGAGCCCGGATCTTGGTAATGTTTGTGGCTAAAAATAAATCAAAATTTAGTTGAATATTTTCAATAAATCCTAACTTGTTGAAGTCGAAGTGCATCTGTTGGTTTTAAATGATAATTATATAAATATTTTTCTGGTAGTTTCTTTGTTATTAATACTTTTGATGGTGAACGATGAATGAAATATTTTAAAATTAAATTATATAAACGATTAATTATTAATCGACATATATCAATTGAGATATTAATTAATGTTTGAAATCCTTTTTTTATTAAATTAAATTGTTTTTCTGTATAAAGTGTTCCAATAATATGAATTAAAAGAAAACATATGAGTACATATGTTATATGTGAATAAATTGATATAAAACCAATACAAAAACCAAGAAACATACATTCATATATTAAAATATCAAAACGATTTCTATTTCTTAATAAAAAAAATTTTTGATTTTTACAAAATAAATATATGATTCATACATACTCATTATGAATAAGAACAAATTTTGTTATATTATCAATAATTAAATAAAGAATTAATTCAAATAATATATTTAATAAAAACCACATTATTGTTGATAATATAAACCGCAAAATATTTTGCTCATAAACAAAATATGACTATAAAATAGTATTGGTTTAGAAACTAACCAATAGTATATATTGACCATATTCAGTTGTTCTTTTATCGAAAAATTTTATACATATGATAACTATGTGCTGTGATTTGAATACAATCTTTATTGTTATTAAAACTTTTTTAATTTAACTATTTATTCTTGTGAAGTTTTTACTAGTACGTTGTGGCGTAACCGCAATGGGGCCAGATGGGGCTTAACCCTATAACCAGGATTTTTTAGTTACTGGACTTGTCAATCAAAAAATTGAAAAGACTAGGCAGTTTTGGGACTGAGCCCCATTATCCTTAAATTTCTGGTTACACCACTACTAGTACACATAAGCATTATTCTAAGTTATAGCACGTTGAACTGTATAATACTTTAATTTCTTATGGTTTTTAGTTTCTAAAAATAGATATTTAATGATGGTACGCTCATGATATTTAGTTTACTTTTTTTCATTTCACGGATAATCATGCATAGAAAAAATGAGTGTGTACACATAATGAGATGGTAGTGTAAACCATATCAATAACAAAATGATGTCTACTATAGTTTCTCAATGTAAGAAATGGGAAAAAATAAGTCACACTAACATTGTAGTATTTTTATATTTTATTTAAATATATAAATTTTGAATGTAAATAAATGCGGAAACTTCGGATTTGATCCGAGAATTATGTGTACTGCAAAAATTGTGTATGGAAATCCTAGGGAAATATCAGTATTTTTGCAATAACTCAGGAATGGCTCGACCGAGATCTTGATAAGACAATTCGATGTACGAAACTTCAACTCAATCGGATAAGTCTTTCAAACGTTATCGAATAAACGGACTGCCACACTGACCGATTCTAGAGTGTACTCACTTTTTGAGTACACAAAAACGAATCATATCGGTGTAAAAGTTATTTTAAAGATAATCCAAACTCTGTATATTAGCGACATCTTCGGCAAGAGTTGATTATATATTAGTAAATTGAAGTAAAATATTTTCGGAATCATTTCCAATATTTGTTAGAATTGGATATCAAAATTTTTGAACAGAAAAATAAAAAATGGACGAATCAAATTTGACCTAATATCCTCTCTTTCAATTAATCCGTATGGATGCTGAATGACGCATTTGACATCTACCGAACGAAACGAATGTTTAAGCACAAAAAGTAATACAGAAAGAATAGTTCTCTTCCCTTTCGTATTCATCCTTTTGGTACATTTTAATCCTGATAATTACGTCATTTTTTCCTATGAAGATCTTGTATATTTGCTCTTTACTTTATACTAAATGTACTTTTTAGTCTGTTTTTCAATCGTTTGATGTACTTAAAAGAGATCGTCGTATATTTTTCTTCTTTCAACAGCCGTCATTTTTATGTATTCAGTCATGAATATTATTGATTTTTCTTATCCGGATTGAAATCAAGTTTCAACTTTAACTTTTAAGATCAAGTAAAAGTAAAAAATAATATAGAATCATACTTTATTAAAATGTTCTCATATCCTTTTATTCATACTGATTTTCAAGTACGTCATTGTGACATATTTTTTTCCCAAAAGATTTTATATAGAATAAAATACTCGCTTATTGATAATTTATTTTTCATTTCAATATCGATGTTTTGTTTGATTATTGTATATCTATTATAAAAGAATAAAATCTAATGAACTATTTAAAGTACACAGATGGAACATTATTTTTTTTCAAAACAATCAAATTCCGAAGTTATGTCGCATCTTGTTTGAATGACGAAGAAGAGATGAATATTTTTTTATTTCTTTTCACAAATATCCATATGGGTCTTTTTCATTTTCATTCTCTTTTCTCCATTTTTGAGTAACAATGCCGCTATCGTATTTTCGTCTAACTACCTACGCATAGTAGCACATGTGTGCACCATCATTCGCTACTACATTCTCTACAATTCCTTTACTTCCATATCTCATTTTTGTCCCCCGCATATAGTATATAATTTATAAAGCGGAAAAAAACATACAAGTACTTTATAAAAGTTCAAATATTTTCTGTTATTAAATTCAATCAAAAATGAAAGAAGCCTATTGATGAATTCTTTTTTCGTCTTCTCTTATTTATATTAATATCAGGCAATGTTGATGTATTGCTATTAAAAAAACTTTTTTTATCGTAAATGTTCGTACATATCCGTAGACGTTAGGTTTTTTACTGTCAATAAAAAATAAAGTTGTTTTTTTGAAGTATTGTATTTATATAACTTGAAAAATTCCATTTTTTCTTATAGATATTTATAACGAACAAAAAATGCCACGAAAAAATACTATGCGTGATAATGTCAATGCTGTACGATCTCGATTAACTCATTTATCTGATCTTTCACGTGAAAAAATTGAATTAGCTCTACTTTATTATGAATCAAATGTCGATGAAACTGTCAAAGCATTTGAAACAAGTATGGTTATATATTTCTATTCTTTTTTTTATAAAAATCTATTTTTTATATTTTAAGATGGAGCAAACGAGGCTCTCAATGGTTGGACTGATATGAATAACGGTCGAGGATATGTAAATACCTTTTTTTTCTAAACAAAAGATAATAATTTAATTTATTTTTGTCAGACATCAGGAAAACGAATGAATAATAAAACGAATCGACCATTAACATTAAATACAACTTCATCATCCAATGGTATTCTACGACCATCACAACGTGTATCAAATATATTTCAAACGTTTGCTGAAGGTGGTACACCAACAAAGACAACGAATGGTAAATAATTTTAATAAGGAAAAAAGATTTTTCTTAAAAAAATTTTCTATAGGAATTGTATCGATGTCTAATACAACACCAACGACAACAACAACTTGTTCACCATCATCGATAGTGTCAACTCCGTTTACTGAACAATCTGATAGTGATCTTCAATCAAATTCATGTCTCAATTTAGATTCAACAACCAAGAATGATGATACAATTGAACAACAAAAACCAACTAAATCACAACGTCGAAAAAGTATAAAAAATCGTAATAGTTCAACTTCATCAAATGTACAAACTCATGAATCTTCTAATAATCAACAAACAACAACATTTACTAATAATAAAAAACGTAAAAAAAAACAAAAATTAAATTTTCAAAAAAAACCCAATTTCTTCTAATTTTAGTTTTAACAAAATCAGCAAAAGATCTTCAACGACAAACATCAACTCTATCAAATGTGGAATTATTATTTAATAATGAAATAAAATCATCATTAAAACGTATCGATGATGTCTTTAAACAAATTTATGAAGCAATCAAAGATCGTGAAGTTCAACTTTATTTAGAAATGGATAAAGTCAAAGAACAAGGTTTAAATGTTATACATCGTCGACAACAACGTGCTGTTGAATTACGTCAACGTATGGATCGTTGTGATCGTCTTGAACCATTAGAACTTGATAATCTTCGTCATGATATTAAACAATTTGTTACTGATCGTCGTTATGATTTAGGAGAAGAATTAACATCATTACATCGTTTTGAATATGATCAAAGTTTAGTAGAATCATTAAAAGATTTTGGAACAATTTTTAAAATTGAACGTAAACATTCAGTAGCAACATCATCTCCATTATCGGATGCAACTTTGGAAAAATTCTTAGCGAATATATCAGATGAAAAACCTTCTCCAACTAATGAATTTCTTCCGACTAATGATCAACAACCATTACCACAACGAATTCAGAAGAATAATAGAAAACAATCGAATGATGAAGTTTTTCATAATCCTACAAATGGAAATGATACCGGTGATAATCATTCTTCATCACAAACGAATGAACATTTGCGATATAATGATGATGATCAGAGTAAATATTATATAATTGTTCTAATTTCGATTTTCTTATTTTTATCTATTAGATGGTAATCGTCGTCGATCTCAACAAAATTTTCCACGTTCACGTCCATTATTTTATCATCAGAATGGTTATAATCGTCGTAATATGCCAAAACAGATAAATACTCGTAGTAATATGTACAATAACAGTGAAACAAATAATACTTATCATCGTCCTCAATCAATTGTTCCAGTACAAACTTAAATTCTGTATATATTTGTGTTTAAAGCATTTTTATTCTTGGCTGATGTGAACTTTTCTTGTTTTTATTCGGCATATTTATTATTATTTATTATTTATTATTGATATTAGTTTGATTGCAACAACATACATTTACAATCTTTACAGATATTTATTATACTATGAATACAGAATGATGTTTAACATTTTCCTTTCTTTATATGTTGGTTTTGGTGCTGTTTGTTTTGTATGCGAATGAACGGCCATAAAGCTCAAATATTCTTTTTATTCAATTGGGAATTTTTATTGTTTTCTTGATATCTACTAACTTTCATTCTGTTTTTCTTCTTTTCTTTTCTCAATTGTTACTTGCACAAGCAAAATAATTTTTAACATGTGTCATATTAAATATATTTGATGTTATTGTATTTATCAATTTTAGTATTTATAACAGACAAGAACAGCAAGAAGACATAAAGTCTTACTTAAATCAATTCATTCATATGATTGATACATCTAATGTTCATAGTTTATTAACTAGCATTCAGTAAATCATAGAATTACTTCTAGATTCCTATTAACTCTTTCAGGACGGGTGGTACACCGTATATACCAGTCTTTTTTTTAAAAGAAACATGTTATGTATTGACGATGCGAAGTAGTTGT